ACTGAAAAACCAAAATGTTCTTAAAAATTCGCTTGTGTCCGTTCATTTTTCGGTTTTTTTTGCCGGTTTGCAAAAATTCATACTATAAGATAATTATTATAAGTACTTAAAAAAATTATTTTCCTAATAAAAAAAGATTTCAGCTTACCTCTCGTTATTGTTAAGCTATAGTGGCTTTTAACACACTGTCCTAAAAATGTCAGTCGTTGACAGCTTTATTACATAGAAACCATATCTCAGGAATAAAAATTTCGCCTCTCATTTTTCCTATACCTAAAAATAATCCAATATAATAATGTCCGAATATTAAAATAACTTTTTAGACTTGCCATTATTTTGAAATCAATTTTCTTTCAATTTTCTCCTACACACGGCAACTCCGAAGTATTTATGTTTTTGCATTTTTTTTCGCTTGTAAATATTTGGCCAAAATTAATTATTTCAAAATTATTAATTTTCATCGAATTTCCAAAAAAGTTCAAAGGCAGCGGAAAATTGTTATACATTCTCTTCCACAATTAACATAATATTTCTTTAGTGATTTAACTGTATTTCCACTCTTAAAATCAAATTTTTAACTTAAATTATGAAAATGAAATATGCTGCCTTGCAAACCATTTGTCTTTATCGACCTAATTTTCGTAACTTGTATAAAAAATATAAATTTTTAATATCACAATTTGTAATAGAAAATCAAGAAGATGCTTTTTAATTTATTCAACATTTTACTTAGATCAACCTTACTGACCTTATACTAAAAAAAAATTTCTAAACTTGTTTTTTATTTTCAATGAAATTTAAAATTTTCCACAAAATTGTTACTTTTAATTTTTATTCAAGCAATAACTGCATTAGCATCACAATTCACCATTCTCTTTCATAAATGTACACTTACTTTTCAAAAAAAAAAAAAAATTAAATCTCTCTTTCACTTTTTATATATTAATTTTTTTCTCTTTCACTCAGGAAAATCAGGACAAAACATTGTTTATTCCCTTTACAGTTTTATATATACTTACATACATGCATGTATGAGCAGTAGTTATACTACTTAGCGAGTATACAACACGTTGTCTATAATTGTCTGCATTGAAGGAAAAAGAAAGAAAAGAAAAAAAAATTCACAATTTAATCTCAACCTACATATTAAATTGAATGACCCAACCGAGAAACCTTTTTTGTGACCTAATAAAAATTAGAAAAATTTTCAATTCATGAAATCAATTTTTTTCTGTTTTGTGCTGCTGCTGCTGCCGATTTTGTTCTTCTGATTTTAACCTTCTTTTTTTTATACAATTTTTAAATCTTGAAGTAATGAGAAAACCATTTATGCTGTAAGACAAAATTATTTTTGTATTTTTTTTTTGATATTTTTTTGCCAACAGATAAAAATTTTCCATTTTCTTGAAAATTTCCTCTTAATTTCAGTGCATTTTTTTGTTACAAAGTCAATAAAATATGAAGATTAAAATTTAAATTGTATGGTTGTTGTCCAACTTGAACAATAAACCATTGATTACATATTTCTCTATATACTTATAACTAAATTACAAATTTAATTTTTCACAATAATTTTAATAATTTTAATAATTTCAATAATTTTCTATAATTTTTTTTATCAGTGTAATTTTGTTCATATAATTAGAAGAAATAATTCTGTGATTATCAAAAAAATTCGAAATTTTACGAAAAATATTGCAGTAATTCGAAAAAATCATTCGATATCTCACTTTTATGTTTGAATTTATTTGATTAGCAAAAAATTCACAATCACTTTTTAATATAAGTACTAGTGATGGCAAGTGAGTGTGAATGGAACGCAACTTGTTGTTCAATAAAAATTTGAAATCATTTGAATTCAGCAGTCATCAACATAACAATTTATTCACCATCATAACACTCTTATAATATTTACTTAAATTCAATAGAATTACAATTTAAATTTTTGTAAAATTAAAAACTTTTTCTTTTAAAACTTGTTTCAATTTTATGGTACAGTAGGTATCTGGGTATTTTTTATGCAATTTAAATAAGTAAGTAGGTAAAATATTAGTGATAAAAATCAAATTATCCCGGAAAATTTTGTATATTTCTTTCTGCGTTTTATTTTTTTCTTGTTTTTCCAAGGAAGGAGCCAAAAGTCTCAACTAAATTCCACATATATTTAAATGCAAACACATTGACTTATGTGCAATATATAGAGAAGTGTGTTAAAAATTTAAGCTGCTAAATTAATCGTTTTTATAACTACGCTACAATTTTTTTTTATTGCTACATGTTAAGTGTTATTTATAGTTGGTATAAATCTGGTTTTTCTGTTTTTTTTTTCTTATAAAATGTGTAATCATTAAAAATAAATAAGAAAATCATATATAATGAAAAAAATTTATACAGTCAAAACAACTTTTATTATAAAGTAACAACTATCACTTTTAAAAAACATAATATATAAGTAAGTACTAAATACTTAATATATGTTTGGATTATGCAAATTTACGAGGTGTATTCTATAGGATTTTAGAAGATGAAAGACATTTTAAAATTTACTTTAAACAATTGTGATATTAGAAAATTCAAGTAAGCATTTAAAAGATTTCGAACTTATTTTGACAAAATTTATTTTAAAAATGTTAAGCCATTTATTATCGTTGACGATATTTTATAAGTAAAGAAAATGTTTATTAATTACAATATCAGCAATCAAAACTTGATCTTCATCTTCTCGAGTGTTAAATTTAGGTACAATCCAGTGTACATGCTCTTTTTAAATAGGTTTAAAACTTTGCTTTATGAGGTGAAATAATTAGTTAATATTTGGTAGTTTTTGAATATGAATATAGGGAAGCCAGCTCCGTTGTCAAAGTTATATTGCTATATGGTGGAAAGTTCACCCGAGATTCTTGATAGCAAGATCAAATACCGTTAAAATTAATGGCTGTAAGTCATTGTATATCAATAAATAAACACGAAAACTAAGCTGTACTTCTTAAATACAGAAATACAAATTGTAAGGATTGTAGCCGACTGCCAATATATTCGTGCTAATATACTATATCTCATATCAAAAAGTGGGAAAACTATAGGAGCTAATTACTAAGTTTATTTTTCTAAAATTTTGCATTGCTACTTAAAATTACTACATATAAATCAACTCTCGTAAATAATGCTTAAGTAAATTAAACAATTATTCACCATATTAACATATTTTAACTTTATGCTTCATATACAAACATATGTTTAGCATACATTTATATAATAACTTTCGTCTTTTATACTTTGTACACATTCAAATTGCAATTTAGCACTTGTTATAAAGTAAGTCAACCTTTTCAATACGCATTGCGTGTATACGTTGAATTGGAATATAAGTATAAAAATCTAACAAAAATATGGAAATTTTCAACCTGATGTAAATTGTGAATTTTCCTGTTTTCAAACCAGATGCATACTTACATATATGAAAACGTACATAATTTTTACTTGGTAGAATTACGATAATAAATTGAATTTCCAATAAAATGAAAAACTTATATAGCCATTCATTCAATTCAACTATTGATAATCTTTATTATTTTCATATATTGAAATGTTAAAGAAAATTTTATCAATGAAAAAAAAATATTGAAAAAAAAACCGGAAAGTATCATTGATTGGAGCTTTACTTTCCGAGTTTTTACGCTTCATGTGATTAAACACCTTTCTTTTTAACCGGCTTAAAAAAAAATATAAACTATTTATAAAAAGAAAGAAAAATATAAGAAAATTGCATCGACAGCAGCTGTCCACTTAATATTAAAAAATCTCTTTTTTGCTGTTGGATTTTTATAGCCAACTGCTTATCTGCGAATTATTTGCAAGTAAGTCGTGTATACTTGAATTGAATGGAATCAAGGAAAACTAAAAATAAAAAAAGTTTTCATTTTCATTTATAGTTGAGCAAGAGGGTTTTTCTTAAAAACAATATCTATAAGTGTCGGACATATATAAGTACTCAATGTTCTCCGACGCGCAGAACTTGATCAGTCCTGTTCATAATTGTCACGTTTTTCAGTTGTTCCGTGCAACGGAACAATACGAAAATTCGAAAAATAAGCATCGGGATTACACTCATGAATTCACTGCGAAAACTCAAAATTCAAAAATGTGATAAATATTTTGACAACTAAATATATGTATGTCATCTGTCAACGATGATTTTACCTGTTGTTAAATTTAAACGCTAAAAATACGACTTCAAGGTTATCATATCATATACATTAGATTTTTGTTTTACAATTTACTTTTGCCAAAAAATTTGGGAACGAAAATAAATTGCACGACAACACACTTTAGTACTAATGTTGGAAAGCAGTTATTTTAATTTAGATTTTGTCAAAATTTGATCACGAAAAAACACGACAAGCTACAATTATTGTTGTTAAGAATTTACTCAAAGCCCTTTTTTTTCACATAACATGAATTAACATAGAATTGTAAATAAACATTATACATAACATTTTTTTTAAATATTTACATAATAAATTCACCTGAATAAATTTTAAAAATATTGTTAAAATTTCACGTTGTTTTAAAATTGAGCCATATTTTTCGATAAAAAGTCCGGGTTTGAGCGAAATTTCAATCGGACTCCTGATCACTTTGCGTTCTAAAGTTGGTTCGTTATAATTTTATGCAGATTATTTAAATTTTCTAGAACTTTTTTGGCTTTATGGAAATTAAAGAAATTATTGTGCATATATTAAAATATTTTTGTAATTAAATAAAACAGACTTGCATGAATTGAAAGCCGCAATCTATTGCTTATGTTTTTCATTAATTAATTTTTATAAATTACTTAGTGTTTCTTAGAAGTTCTAGTTCTAGTTAATAATTTCATACAGTTTTGCTAAATAATCAAAATATTTATTTTAAAATTTCTTATTTTAAATATTTAATAATAAATAAAATATTTTATAAATTTCTTAATAATTAATAAAAATTATTTTTTTTTCTAATTTCAGGTAAGCTCAATATAGAAACTATTTGGTATCATTGAAACCATTTTGCCAGTAAGTTATCAAATAGAATTTAGTTAGCTAAAATGTAAAAAGGACCTTCCTGCTGAACATTTTTTTATGAATTCAAATAAAATTTAGGATTAATAAAATTTCTGTACTGTAGAGTTTATAAAAATAATATTTCTCATTTTTCTCCTTAATTTTCCAAAACAAAAGATCTCCTTCACCATTTTCACAAAACATTTTCTCTATCTACTTACAAAAATTGTATTTTTCAAAGTCAATTCTTATTCTTATCCTTAAAATATTACTTTGTTTCCTTCAAATTAGTTGCTATTCATCACATGTTAATCAGTGGTATTAAGAAAAGAAAGACAAAACATAATGTCATTAGCATATTGTCAGACTTCGATTCTCAAATTCAACCCCCAATTTATTTACAAATTTTGTGTTTTCACTTTAATAAAATTTTTTTCGAAAATGCAAAAAGGAAAACCACTAAAAAGAAATATTGCAAGGGCATTTCCCTTCTATTTTCTTTTGCCTGTTAGGCTAAAATATTTCTACCGTCATTTACAAAAGTAAAATCATAAATCATTATAAATAAAATTTTTACTTTTATATTTTTCATATGCAAAAAAAAAATTTGAAAGAAAATGTATAACAAAAAAAAACAATCCCAAAAACTAAAATGAATGCAGACTAGACAGGAGTGTTTTAAATATTTTGGATATAAACAAAAAAAAAATACACCCAGGACGACAACAGACGGCGGTGACATAACCCAGTACAATGCCTTCTTTTTTTTTTTTGTTCATTCATAGAATTTAAAATGCAACCTAGATAACAAAAAACTACAACAATAGCAACACATAAAGATTAAAATAATAAAAAAGGTAATAGAAACTCTCTACAATTTCTCTTTTTCGTATGCTTGCTGGCTGCTTTCTATAATTTTTTATTATTTTATTCTTAGGGGTGAATTAACTATATGGAACGCATCTTAAGACTTAAGGAAAACTTCATCTTTTTTAGCCAAATAAACTTCCAAACCGAATTAAAAATTTTCTTTACGATTGAGGGCTTTTCTTCCCTTTAATTCCAGAGATTTTTTTTTTAAAGAAATAAATAGCTAGTCTTGTCTTCATTGTTATCCCAAGAAGGATAACGATGAAATAATTTTTCACAGATAAAAGTATGTATGAAAAAAAAAATTGAAATGTTGTTAAAATTTAGAAAAATTTTTCATGATTGCAAAAACAAAAAAGAGGAATTTTCTTTTTGTTTACAAGCCAAGAATAAAAAAATTTCTTGTATCTCTTTTCGATCAAAAATTCCCCTCTGGTGTATATAGTGAGAAGAATATTTGATTTCTTGCAAATTTTGGGTATTTTTGGTACGAAATTGAGTTTGAGTGTTGTTCTTCATTGATTATAAGTTATTTTTAAAGTACAGGATAAAGACGTGCTTTTAAAAAAAAAATGTAAATCAAAGCAAGCTATTAGGGTTGTTCTTTAAAAATGTGATATAATGTAAGAATTCAAGTCAAATCACAAACCTCTACAGTGTATTTTACATGAATGCAGAAATTTTCTTACTTGCCGACTACAATTTTGTTAAATATCAAGTTAGATACTGGCGTTAGCTCCGACCCTTAGCCTAGTAAATGAAAATATCTCAAACTTCGTAGTACCGTTTGTCACGCAAAATTTAATTACAGCACAGACGTATCTTCTTCCTAGGCGTATTGTTGTATTCCACCACTCTGATAACTTAGAACAGCGTTTTGAACTAATTAACATTATAAAATTGAAGCTTTATTAACAATTCAATTCAAAAAATATAAAATCAATATTATAAATCCTTACCAATATCCTTCCAGATACGTCAAATTTCTGAATGTATTGCATAGTAAAGTCATAAAATATTATCAAAAGTATGGCGGCTATACATAAAATATCTGTTTTTGCAATTCCCTCAAGCATTCAAGCATTTTTTTTTTCTATTTCCAATATATTCTGTATTATCGTCTATCTGCATTTATACAACACATTTATTCTAATACTTGTAATAAAGATTTTGTGGTAGAATTTAACATAAAAAACTAGATAAAAATAAAATGAAAACCACGCATTTTAAATACCGAAAAAGGATAAATTTACATCTAGTCTACATTTCTTCTTACACCTTTACAATCACAGCACATAACTATTATATTCATAATGTTAACACATACATGTACGCATATTATATAAAATTTTGAAAATCTAGAAGATAGAAAACTAAATGAAATAGTAAATTACAACTTATAAAAAGTATTTCCGAGTTTATTTTCATTACTACTCTTGTAATTCCAACCACATTTCCGTTTTTTTTTCTTCTGCAGTTTCTTTGTAGTTAATCACACAGAAATTCATTTCTATGGACCATAAAATAAATAAATAATAAAGGTGGCTCTTTAAGTCTAATGGAATGTTTTTAAGATTATTATAAGCTGTAAAAAAAAGGATCTTTTTGTACAAAAGAAAGGAAGAAAGAGAAGAAAAAGACTGCTTTTTTTTCTCTCATAAGCATTAAAAGGCAGCCAGACAAGAAGTACAATGAGTAGAACTTTGAATATTTTTTTTCCTTATTTCAAGCTCTTCCTTTCAGCATTTCATATTTAACTTCTGGCTAACGAAATCCTACTGTTATACTAGTAATCTAGAGAGTATAAGAATGATAACAATAATATTTAGGGTATAGATAAAAAGTGGAAAGGTGGTTGAGCTGAAAATTATATTTTTTTTTTTTGCCATTTATTCTTTAAGATTTCAAATTTTATTATCTTCCATTTTACTTGTTATCCTTATAGGATTTATTTCGGAGTTTATTCACATGATAATTTTACTAAAATATTTATGTTTCTTTTTCTTTTTTTGTTTCCTATAAAATTTATAAAATTGTTTATGGTAAGATGGAAATTGTATTTTGAGACGGCATGAAGAAATAATGAAATTTTTTTATTAAAAGAAGGTTAATGTTTCGTAATAATTAAGTAGTTTGCTAGTTTGTTAACCGGAAACTAGTCAAATGTGAAAATTTTTATCTTATTTTAGAAATTTAATACGCAGACATATAATTATTATTTTATAAATCAAGTGAAATTGAAAGAGTGCCTATGAAAAATAGGAATTGATAAATAAATTAAGATTTATTTAGAAGGGTTGAAGGGCTGTAAAAAGTCAGTCAAAACCAGCAGAATTGGTTGAATGATGTGGGCAAGACCATTTATTATCATAAAAGAGATGTCAAAGTACAAGAAGGTTCGAATTGCAAGTTATCCTTATAGATGTAGAAAAGCCTTAGGATATCATTTGTACAAAATAGAACTGTTTGCAGAACATATTGTATAGATTAGATTTTTAGGCAGCTTAATAAATTCTATAACACTGCTGTGCTGTAACCTCTGCATCTACAAAACACGTATGGAATGTAAAATTGTAGTAATTGACCCCAGTATAATTGGAAATGAAGAAAGAAAAAAGAAACTGGAGTTGCTTATTTCTGGCTCTTTTTATTTTTCCCTTTCAATTGCTGTTGGTTATCCCAAATCAAACCTATTTCATGCTGAAATTGTTTGAAATCAAACTTGAATTTACATAAAACACTTTTTTTTTATTTACTACCCTTTAAGTAATCCTTATGTTATTTCAGATTAAAATTTCATTTTTCTATTCTACTTTTTATTAAAAAACAAAATTTTTCCAAACCTTTAATCTTAATTGCCATAATGCCTCAAGTTTTTTATATTAAAATTTATGTTTTATGTTATGAATATTAAAATTTAATTTGAAATCGATATAATTTTATTTCAAACTTTTAATAATTACTTATGTCAAATCACAACAAAATCAAAAATTAATTACCAAAAATATTATTCAAGGTTTTCTTTTTTTCAATTTTATTCAATTGAGTAACTAGTAAATCACGAATATGAAAAAAAAAATGCCAGACAAAGAAAACAGTAACTGTCTTGCAACATTTTATGTCCAAATATAGACTTTATTTATTTAGAAATTTTCAATTTGATTTTTTATGTTTTTAAAAAAATTCCCTAAAAGCAAAAAAGAAATTATAATAAAGCTCGAAAAAAGTGAGTAGTTTTTATGTATATTGGTGTACAGTTGTAACCTTATTGAGTGAATCATAAAACTAATCAAACTAATTCAAAAATCAATCAAACAAATAAAATTAAAAGATTAATGTTGTAATTTAAGTCAATCAAATTTAAAATTTTGTAATTGATATCTTAAAATTTGACATTATCAAAAAGTTTAAATTAATAAAAATATCAACTCTAATCGATGGTGGCAATTTATTTTAGGCACTTACGTTCTCGTATTGGAATACGCACTTATTGCATATTTGAAACTGATATTTCCGTATTTCTATGTACACGGAAAAGTGAAAATAATATTCATGCTAAAAGAAAAAAGGTTTTTAAACCAAATAAATTAGTTTATGTACTAAACGAACATGTTCGAACATGTTGGAGTTGGAACATGCTAAACGAACGTGTTTGATGTTGAATTTATCTTTAATAAAAAATCAATAAAATATAGCAGAAGCCCGTAATTTGTTACAAATATTTTTATGTGGAAACTATTTAATCATTCTATTAAATGTGATGCAAATATTTATATAAAAATACGGAACCAGTTACTCTTTCCCCCAATTTTTAAAAATTTCAAAAAAAAAATTGAAAAATATTTTTATACTCAATTCAGTCTGAATATTCTTATTTTTAAAAGTATATTTTTGTTTTTTCCAAATCTATTTTTTCATATTAATATAAATTTGCATACCTTGTAATCAATCATACATAAATTTATAGTTGTTCCAAACCGTTAATGACACACCTGTATAAAAAATTCATAGACATATGTATAAGTATGAATTAATTTTTTAATATATGACCGAATAACCTATTGATTGAGTAACTTGTAAATTGAAACTAAAGCATAAAAACAAAACAATATTACTTTATGGTCACTGAACGCGTGTCTCGTCGAAATTCCCTTATACATATTATGAAGTTATTTTATTATACATATGATTATACACTCATACTTGTATGAACAAACGTACGTATACAATATATTTCATTCTTAAT